TACTTTCTACTTCTTACATTTTGAACACAAATACCTGTACTTTCTACTTCTTACATTTTGAACACAAATACCTGTACTTTCTACTTCTTACATGTTGAACACAAATACCTGTACTTTCTACTTCTTACATGTTGAACACAAATACCTGTACTTTCTACTTCTTACATTTTGAACACAAATACCTGTACTTTCTACTTCTTACATGTTGAACACAAATACCTGAACTTTCTACTTCTTACATTTTGAACACAAATACCTGAACTTTCTACTTCTTACATGTTGAACCCAAATACCTGTACTTTCTACTTCTTACATGTTGAACTCAAATACCTGTACTTTCTACTTCTTACATGTTGAACACAAATACCTGTACTTTCTACTTCTTACATGTTGAACACAAATACCTGTACTTTCTACTTCTTACATGTTGAACACAAATACCTGTACTTTCTACTTCTTACATTTTGAACACAAATACCTGTACTTTCTACTTCTTACATGTTGAACACAAATACCTGTACTTTCTACTTCTTACATGTTGAACTCAAATACCTGTACTTTCTACTTCTTACATGTTGAACACAAATACCTGTACTTTCTACTTCTCACATGTTGAACACAAATACCTGTACTTTCTACTTCTCACATTTTCCAAACAGGCTGGTTCCTTTAGTTTGAATGTGTGTTTGGTGGCGTGATCATTATTATTTAGAGTCATTGCGTGCCTATTGATTTGAACACGATCCGTGTATCCATCATTTCCTGGTCTTCTCTAAAGAAGAGGGACCAATGAAAACGTTGTCATGTTGCCGTTGTTCAGCATGGAAACATTCATTAGCTAACAATGACATTATTGTTCTATTAATATAAAGGGAGGTCAGGTACTCTTTAAAACAGCTGCTAGTTATGGGTACTTTTTACTGAAGTACATTTCAAAGCCCTCTTTACTTTTACTTGAGTAAAGAAGTTTAGTCAGTACTTCTACTTTCACCAGAGTATTTTTAAACACGAGTATCTGTACTTCTACTTGAGTAAAGGATGTGTTTATTTCCCCCTCCTCTTCCTCTCTAGCTGAAAAAGCTGCTGCTGACGCCTCCCAACGTTCCCGCAGGAATCGATTCACAGAAAGTCAACGGCAGTCGATACAGCAGCCGCAGCCTGAGGACGGTCAAACCTCTGGCCAAGGTGAGACAAGAACACCTGTTTACTTACTTCCTCTCTCTACCAATATAAGCACCAATGAAAGTGATAAGAGAGAGTAATCATCCCTCAACGATTACAACTACTAAAAGTATAGAAGTGATTCCTCGACCCTTCAACATCTCATCAGATTGAATGAATTTAGTAAATGTCATTAGCAGCAATCAGTCAAGACATGTTTTAATACGTTTGTTCTTGTGGGAAATGTGTACATATTTCTTCATCATAAATTGTCTCAGGATAACCAACGCTTTAACGGTGCTAATGTATTTAGTAAAAGAAAGCAAAAAAAGGTTTTGATAATTGCTTCCTCTCTGTCTTCTTCTGCTGTTCCCTTTAGTGTTTACTTCCTGTCTGTCTTCTTCTGCTGTTCCCTTTAGTGTTTACTTCCTCTCTGTCTTCTTCTGCTGTTCCCTTTAGTGTTTACTTCCTCTCTGTCTTCTTCTGCTGTTCCCTTTAGTGTTTACTTCCTGTCTGTCTTCTTCTGCTGTTCCCTTTAGTGTTTACTTCCTCTCTGTCTTCTTCTGCTGTTCCCTTTAGTGTTTACTTCCTGTCTGTCTTCTTCTGCTGTTCCCTTTAGTGTTTACTTCCTGTCTGTCTTCTTCTGCTGTTCCCTTTAGTGTTTACTTCCTCTCTGTCTTCTTCTGCTGTTCCCTTTAGTGTTTACTTCCTGTCTGTCTTCTTCTGCTGTTCCCTTTAGTGTTTACTTCCTCTCTGTCTTCTTCTGCTGTTCCCTTTAGTGTTTACTTCCTGTCTGTCTTCTTCTGCTGTTCCCTTTAGTGTTTACTTCCTCTCCGTCTTCTTCTGCTGTTCCCTTTAGTGTTTACTTCCTGTCTGTCTTCTTCTGCTGTTCCCTTTAGTGTTTACTTCCTCTCTGTCTTCTTCTGCTGTTCCCTTTAGTGTTTACTTCCTGTCTGTCTTCTTCTGCTGTTCCCTTTAAACATTTGTTTATCAACTCCTTGTAAGATGTTTGCAGAAACAAGCCCCAACCTTTGTGGTTTAGCTTCTTTCAAGTCTTTTAGACTTGTTCCTTCAGCCTGGACTCTACTGATGAAGCACATGAGGGATATATTTATGGAGTGTTTTGAGTCCATGAGAATGAAAGAGCTGTTCCTCTGATGATCAAACCGTTTGAATATAACGTCTCACGCTGTGTCTCCACCCTTCAGTGTGACCTCCGTCCGGACAGGAAGCCGCGCGCCGTCCGTCCGTCCGGTCGTCTCTGCACCGAGCTGCACAAACACCTGACCACCGCTCGAGACACTGAGGAGGACAAGGAGGAAGAGGAGGAGGAAGAGGACGAAGAGGACAGTGAGTCAGATGAGGAGGGTGAAGATGAAGAGGAGGAGTCTTCCAGCAGCGAAGTGGAGGGAGGAGTCGTCGCTGTTCTTCCTCCAAAGTCTCAGTTCAGCTCAGAGAAGGAGCTGCGCTCGGTGGTGGATCTGATCACCTACATGCACACCTACTGCCTGCCCATCCGCAAGCAGCAGGGCTGGGATCAAAGGAAGGAGGCGCCGAGGCCGAGGGCCCGAAACGAGGCCCCTCGCCCCACCACTAACGCCCACAGCAGGGTGGTACTGGTGTCCGCGCCGGGCACTGGGAGCAACAGCGCCCCCCGCAGGATGCCCTTTGCAAGGTTAGTCAAATCAAACAAAAATCTGTCATTGAGTTGTGAACCCGGAGATGTTGAGAAGAAGTGTTATGTTAGAAATGTATAGGTCTCCAGCACAAAGACTCTTCTGGATGCTAACCTGCACATTGCACAATTAGCATTAATTGCATTTGCAGACAATAGTTTTGGTTTTGGAGGTTATTGAGGATGCTGAGTCCATTTCTGACATTTTCAGGATCAAATATGACAGTTTTAACCAGGAATTGGAGTTGGCCATATTCGTACTCCTGTTGGGCTGATTTTGCTGAATCTTGGGTCGTTTTTGACTCAAAACTGCAATTGTGGACCCTGAAAATGTCAGCACATCCTCAACATACCTCAACAACCACACCAACATTGTCCGTTCTCGATATTTTTACTGTAGCAACGTAATGTCCGCTCTGTGGGACGAATGAAGGAATTCTGATCCGGATTCTGTTTCTTATTCTGCTCCTGAAAGTTGCCATAGTTGTACTCCTGGTGGACTGATTTTGCTGCATTTACGGTCGTTTTAAAGTTTTAGAGGACTCAAAACTGCAATTTTGGACCCTAATAATGTCAGAATTTGATACCACTTCCTCAATATACCTCAAAAGCCACACCAACATTGTCCATTCGCAATATCTTACTGTAACAACTTATTCGAGGGACTGCGGAGGGAAATGAGCTCAAAGCTAAATCTGGCACTGTTACGCTTGACACATTTGAATGTTTTAAGTGTTCATTACTGTGCATTGTCCCTGCCAAATAAACCATGAATAATAATAATTCTTAATCTGATTCTTATTCTGTTTCTTGTCCTTCAGGCGGCGGGAGATGAAGGCCAACTCTCTCCTCCGAGACCTCCTGCAGCAAAGCAGCTCGTACGACGTGAGCAAGCCTTACGGACTGCATACCCCCCCCTACGTTCACTCCCCCAGCAGAGTCTCACACCCAAATAAATCTTCCTCCCCCCCCTCCACCTCCTCCGCTATAAACAAGCTGGAGCTCCGTAAAGACTCCCAGAGGCGGCCTCCGAGCCCGGACGTGGATTTTGTGGATTTTGCAGATTTTGCGGAGGACGGCGGCTCTTTTTCGGTTCGTCGCTCCCGTCGACTCGCCTCTTTCCCGAGTCGCTTCGGCAAGAGGCTTCGGCCAGGAAAGGAGAGGGAAGGAGTCATGGGGGGGAAGGAAAGGGAAGAATGGGAGGAGGCGAGAGCGGGAGTCAAAACACAAACAGGAGGAGCGACGACGACGACGACGACCGAAAAGCTGATGGCCGGAGAACTAGAGAACAAACACTGCTGCCACAACGGTGAGGTTTAATACACACACACACACACACGCACACACACACACACACACACACACACACACACACACACACACACACACACACACACACACACACACACACACACACACACACACACACACACACACACACACACACACACACATATGCTGGGGTGCATGTTGTCAAGTTATGTTTATAACTGTATTTTTCATGTGCTTGCAGAGAAACGAGCCTGCCTCTGTCTGCCTCTCAACTCCAAGAACACAGGGTGAGTCTCTCTATGTGAAGATGAGATGAGATCAGATGAGATCAGATGAGATGAGATCAGATCAGATCAGATGAGAACAGATCAGATCAGATCAGATGAGATGAGATCAGATGAGATGAGATCAGATGAGATGAGATCAGATCAGATCAGATGAGAACAGATCAGATCAGATCAGATCAGATGAGATGAGATGAGATCAGATGAGATGAGATCAGATCAGATCAGATCAGATCAGATCAGATCAGATCAGATCAGATCAGATCAGATCAGATGAGATACCTTTTTCCAGGTAGATTTCTGATAAAGAGTGTGATGTAAACTCCAAATGGATTCACTGGAAGCTACTGATCCACATTGCTGAGGAAATGCATTGGACTTCATGCAAATGGTTTATTGATGATTGCTGATCGAGAGGCAGCTTCCATTAAGCAGCAAACCACGGCGTTCATTTCCTCTGCTGTCATCTCAAAGATTCCCCCTCTAATTGGTTCGATCCCACTTGTTTTGTTGTATCAATGATATGATCTAGTGCTTCACGATGTGGCAGCGCTCCATAACTCATACACTTCCAAGTATTGAGTTGTTTAGTCCGGGAGGATTTGTTGTTGGCAGGGAGGAAAAAACCTTTGAAACTAAGACAGATAACACGACGCTGATGAACACATTTAGCAAAGTTTGACGGATCGGCTGTGGATCTTAAAACCTCTGTTTGCTGCAGACGGGTCAGCTTTATTGTTTTTCCAACGCAGTTTAGATCGAACCATCCCTTCTTCTGCATGAGGAAAGCATCGATGCAGTGTCAGAGCCTTCAGTCTCTTCATAGAGCATCTTCTTCAAAGTAGATTCTGGCACTTTCACACTCGGGCTGATTGCAGCACCACAGATAGTTCTTAGTCACACTTTGAATATGTATGCACAGGTTGGAGACACATGGATGAGGAGACAAGTAGATAGGAGGGAGGGATGAAAGGATGTAAGGATGAAGGGATTAAGGATAAGAGAAGGGAGGGATGAAGGGAGGAAAGGATGAAGGGATTAAGGGATGAAAGGATGTAGGGATGAAGGATAAGAGAAGGAAGGGAGGAAGGGAGGGATGAAGGGATTAAGGATGAAGGATAAGAGAAGGGAGGGATGAAGGGAGGAAGGGATTAAGGGATGAAGGGATGAAGATGTAGGGATGAAGATGTAGGGATGAAGAGATGAAGGGATGAAGATGTAGGGATGAAGGAATGAAGGAATGAAGATGTAGGGATGAAGGAATGAAGGGATGAAGATGTAGGGATGAAGATGTAGGGATGAAGGAATGAAGGGATGAAGATGTAGGGATGAAGATGTAGGGATGAAGATGTAGGGATGAAGGGATGAAGGAATGTAGGGATGAAGGAATGAAGGAATGAAGATGTAGGGATGAAGATGAAGGGATGAAGGGATGAAGATGTAGGGATGAAGGAATGAAGGGATGAAGATGTAGGGATGAAGATGTAGGGATGAAGATGTCGGGATGAAGATGTAGGGATGAAGATGTCGGGATGAAGGAATGTAGGGATGAAGATGAAGGGATGAAGGGATGAAGGAATGTAGGGATGAAGATGAAGGAATGAAGGGATGAAGATGTAGGGATGAAGATGTAGGGATGAAGGAATGAAGGATGAAGATGTAGGGATGAAGATGTAGGGATGAAGGAATGTAGGGATGAAGATGTAGGGATGAAGATGTAGGGATGAAGATGTCGGGATGAAGATGTAGGGATGAAGATGTCGGGATGAAGGAATGTAGGGATGAAGATGAAGGGATGAAGGGATGAAGGGATGAAGATGTAGGGATGAAGATGTAGGGATGAAGGAATGAAGGGATGAAGATGTAGGGATGAAGATGTAGGGATGAAGATGTAGGGATGAAGATGTCGGGATGAAGGAATGTAGGGATGAAGATGAAGGGATGAAGGGATGAAGGGATGTCGGGATGAAGGAATGTAGGGATGAAGATGAAGGGATGAAGGAATGTAGGGATGAAGATGTAGGGATGAAGGAATGAAGGGATGAAGATGTAGGGATGAAGATGTAGGGATGAAGATGTAGGGATGAAGATGTCGGGATGAAGGAATGTAGGGATGAAGATGAAGGGATGAAGGGATGAAGGGATGTCGGGATGAAGGAATGTAGGGATGAAGATGAAGGGATGAAGGGATGAAGGAATGTAGGGATGAAGATGAAGGGATGAAGGGATGAAGGGATGAAGGAATGTAGGAATGTAGGGATGAAGATGTAGGGATGAAGATGTAGGGATGAAGGAATGTAGGGATGAAGATGTCGGGATGAAGGAATGTAGGGATGAAGATGAAGGATGTAGGAATGAAGGAATGTAGGGATGAAGATGTAGGGATGAAGATGTAGGGATGAAGGAATGTAGGGATGAAGATGTCGGGATGAAGGAATGTAGGGATGAAGATGTAGGGATGAAGATGTCGGGATGAAGGAATGTAGGGATGAAGATGTAGGGATGAAGGGATGAAGGAATGTAGGGATGAAGATGTAGGGATGAAGATGTAGGGATGAAGGGATGAAGGAATGTAGGGATGAAGATGTAGGGATGAAGGGATGAAGATGTAGGGATGAAGATGTCGGGATGAAGGAATGTAGGATGAAGATGTAGGGATGAAGATGTCGGGATGAAGGAATGTAGGGATGAAGATGTCGGGATGAAGGAATGTAGGGATGAAGATGTAGGGATGAAGGGATGAAGGAATGTAGGAATGAAGGAATGTAGGAATGTAGGAATGAAGGAATGTAGGGATGAAGATGTAGGGATGAAGATGTAGGGATGAAGATGTAGGGATGAAGATGTAGGGATGAAGGAATGTAGGGATGAAGATGTCGGGATGAAGGAATGTAGGGATGAAGATGAAGGGATGAAGGGATGAAGATGAAGGGATGAAGATGTAGGGATGAAGGAATGTAGGAATGAAGGAATGTAGGGATGAAGATGTAGGGATGAAGGAATGAAGATGTAGGAATGAAAATGTAGGAATGAAGGGATGTAGGGATGAAGATGTAGGGATGTAGGAATGAAGGGATGAAGATGTAGGGGTGTAGGAATGAAGGGATGAAGGGATGAAGGAATGAAAAGTCACCTGCAAAGACGTGAGGGGCTAAAATATGAACAAAGTAGTAGTGAACCTTCATAAATCCTGGTTTGCATCCATGTCATGTTTAATCTCATAAAACCAGATCAAATGGGCCCAAATTCCATTTCCAAAGATCCCTAATGAACGGGGACCTCTGCCTGGCTCTGATTTTTAATCTGTGCCAGACAGACTGCTCTTACTTTTAAAGATCAACCCCCTCCCCTCCGGCCTGGATCTCCTCCAACCAGGCTGAGTGCTTCCCTCCACAAACCCCTGGCGTCCGTCCATCTTCTAAATGAGCCTGTCTTCTGAAGCGTTCACCGAAAAAAGAAAGAGTTGTGTTTGTTTGGTTTTTTATATATTTGACTCTCCTGTTCTCTGAGGAGTTTCAGTAATAACCCGCCTGAAGCCAATCCACTCCATGCTGCCATTCATGGCGACTGGAGCAACAGAAGCAGACAGCCAGGAATAGAAAGCAGCAGCAGAAGAATAGGGGAGGACATGTGGCTGTTGTGATAAGAAACCTTTACCGAGAGAAACATCATTCAAATTCAGCAGGCATCAGCTGGAGCTATTTGTGTGTCATGGGGAAGAAGAGCTCTCTGTTATTGGGTTCCTTTTGACTCGGATGATTGAAAAACACAACAGACTCCAACATGACAAAGCACTCTTTAATGTAACGCCTCTTTCTGTGTTTCCACCAGAGAGTCCCAGTACAGCAGCAAGCCTTTCGAGCAGACGCTGGGAGTGGATCTGTGCGGGACGGCAGGTAAACAAATCTCCTTAAGGGGACAATAAAGTATATCCTATCATATCGTAAACACAGATCATGTTTAATAAGGGTTTGTTTGGATGATGGCAACAGGTTACAGCTCTAGACATGTCCTCATAAGAGCCAGGGGAGAGTGGGATTACATCTGTTTTAGTTTGGGATTAGACCTAACAAGATGCCGGGTATGAACACCGGGGATGTAGGGAACAAGGGATGAAGAGAAAAAGATGAAGGGATGAAGGGCATGAAAACTCATACACATTTAGGAGTTAGAAGGGGTTTATGTGCAGGACTGTTTCTTGTCAGGATGCAGTTTGTTTGAAATGATTATATGATCATTTGACTCATGTTGTACCCCCTCCTCCCTCCTCAGGTCTCACCCCTCCCACCACCCCGCCTCACAAACCAGTGGAGGATGAGCTCTTCAAACCTTCAGAGGCAGGAAAACCCAGTGATGTTGTCGGCGTTTCCACGAAGGCTTCCTCGTCCTGGCTTTCTCGCGCTCACCCTCCACGGAAGCTTCCGGAACAAACGGAGCTTTACGCCCAGTTGCGGCGCATGGGTCAGGCGGGCGCCAACGAATCCTACCGGACCTTCGGAGATCACGACTACTGCGCGCTGAGCCTCGGGGAGAGCAGGAAACGCAGCGCCGACATGTTGGGCGCCATTTTACAGGCGCAAAGTGGGGGAATGGATGGTAGCAAAGCACCGAAAAATGTAGACGATCAGGGGTCGAGGGAGAGAGAGAGGGAGAGAGAGGAAGTGATGGTGGTGTCACAGATAGCAGAATTGCTGGAGCAGCAGATCACGACCACCACGACCAAAACGACGAGGAAGTTGGTGATTTCTTCGTTGCCGCCGCCCTCTCACTGCCAGTCGGCGACCGCTACGCCGCCGGTGTCCGAGGAGGAGGCGGAGAGATCGTCTGCGTCTCGCTCGCCATCACCCACAATGCACCTGTGTCCCGACTCCCCCGCCAGCAAGACAGACTCCAGGTGAGACAGAACACGATAAAATGCTTTATTGTCAGATCAACATGTTTCTTGCATCACAACAGCTTCAACAAGGACACATATTAAGACACGATACAAGGAACAGACATTTACCGTAACATGACGATCACTGAAGAGAAAACATGCTCAGTTTCAGCTGCAACTCTGTATTTAATTTGAGGATTAACTCGTGCACAAAGGAGTGCTTCAGTCAATCAAGTGGGACCCTGTTCCTCTGATTTGATAAAGATTCATATTCTCTGTTCAGGACCTGGTCGGAGTTAGAGATGATGTTGATACGGTCAGCTGATTCATAGAGTCTCTCACAGACCTACAACAGTTGAGCAGATTTCCAACTGGTTGAGCAGTTTTGACTTTAAAGCTGTGGACAAACACTTGTACCATGGAGGAAGAGGAGGGAGGGGTCAAGAAGATATCAAACTGAGAGAGGCAGGTCTCTCATAGACACTTGTAAATTCACCAGTGGGGTATTTACTGACCTATTTTATGTCGTAGAACAAAAGATGAAAATCTCTTCAGCTTGTATTAACCACAGACAGGCTAACAACCAAAAACACATTCAGAAAACCATTGACTTCCAGACCAGGGGACAGGCATTTGATACACTCTAATCCAAGTACCACTCTTGTGTAATTGTCTTGGCATATTGTGGCACATATGGGAAGCCAACTGCTCACAACACAAGGTCTACAATCTGTCTGTAGCTGTGAACAAAGGCCAGTTAGAAGAACAGTGTGTTTGCAGAATGGATTGAACTCTACGTCTTATGCTAAATATCGACGCACCAAATCATAGAGACAAGAGTAAACAAAGGCTTTACTCTACATGCAGACATCTTTGGTTGTAAATGCGCCACAAGTCAAAGCATCAAACGCTGATCAGGAAAACATAGCATTGCAGCAACACGACCAACCATAGCCTTTGAAGGTTTTTACTTTAAACAATATTCCGTTATACCTGAGATTTGCTCTTTTGCCCAGATCTCTGCATGTAGAGAAGTGAAGGTGATGCATTCAGTGTGTACCAATCGTTATTTAACCACATCTTGTGCATGTTTCAAAGACTGTACTGTGAATCAGGTCAGTGTTCATTCTGCCCTTGTAAGATACAGTGTGAGTTGACTTTACACAGAATCAGGTCAGTGTTCGTATTATTTCTGTACCTGGCAGACAAAGGGAGGGGATGAAACAGTAAGAGGTGTTGCAGTGTTGCAGTCAGAGGGAGGAAGTGTCAGATTTTGCCGCAGTTCACCTGTTCCCTCGTGTCTGACATTTCAGCTTCACCTTCTGTCCTTTTCTCACTAACGCTTCTCTTTCTCTCTCGTTCACTTCTTAGTGAGAACTCGGAGATCTGTCCCGACGACAAGCAGAGGAACAAAGCCAAGTCTGACGAGGTACAGAGAACACACACACTTTCACACACTCTTAAATATAAAGGCAAACTCCTCAGCAGAATGGGAGAAGTACTCAGATCTTGTACTTGAGTAAAAGTAGAAGTACTCAGATCTTGTACTTGTAGTAAAAGTAGAAGTACTCAGATCTTGTACTTGTAGTAAAAGTAGAAGTACTCAGATCTTGTACTTGAGTAAAAGTAGAAGTTCTCAGATCTTGTACTTGTAGTAAAAGTAGAAGTACTCAGATCTTGTACTTGAGTAAAAGTAGAAGTACTCAGATCTTGTACTTGTAGTAAAAGTAGAAGTACTCAGATCTTGTACTTGAGTAAAAGTAGAAGTACTCAGATCTTGTACTTGAGTAAAAGTAGAAGTATTCAGATCTTGTACTTTAGTAAAAGTAGAAGTACTCAGATCTTGTACTTGAGTAAAAGTAGAAGTATTCAGATCTTGTACTTTAGTAAAAGTAGAAGTACTGAGATCTTGTACTTGTAGTAAAAGTAGAAGTACTCAGATCTTGTACTTGAGTAAAAGTAGAAGTATTCAGATCTTGTACTTGTAGTAAAAGTAGAAGTACTCAGATCTTGTACTTGTAGTAAAAGTAGAAGTACTCAGGTCTTGTACACCTCTGCTCCTCAGTAGCCTTAAGACTTTAAAACGACACAAAGCATGCAAATATGATTTTAGGTCATGCTTATGCAAACTGATATTCAGATGCATGCTGCAGCAGGGAGGGGAAGTACAGTGTTGTCCGTCCTGCAATCATTTCCCACGTCTGTCCTCCTGCTCTGCGTTGTCCTATTTTTTAATGTATGTCCCTGACTGTTGCCATGGTTTCCCTGTTTCCAGGACAACTGCCAGGTGTTCTACATCCACAACCTGCCAACCAGCGTGACCCAGAACGTGCTGCGGAAACGCTTCCAGGTTTTCGGAAAACCAGAGGACTGCAAAGTCATCATCTGCAACGAGTGAGTGTGATCCTGATTCCTCCTTCTGTAAATACATCCTTTATAGTCAGAGGGGAGTGTGGTACTCATGATGATGTCCCATTGTTATTAACTCATACTGGACTGAGTGCTTTTATCTTCAGTAGACTGGACTACTAATATAAGTTGACAAATATGACACGTGGGGTTCCTCAAGGCTCCCTCCTGGGGCCTCTTCTCTTTCACATCTACATACAAATAACAAAACAAGTCAGCCTACCTATATCACCTCGAGAATATATTGAGGATTAAAAGACACATGTCACAGCAGCATTTGGAAAAAAGTGTCCATGCTTTTATCTTCAGCAGACTGGACTACTGCAATGGTGTCTTTACAGGTCTCACTAAAACATAGGAAGCTGCAGGTTATTCAGAACGCCGCTGCTAACACTTAGAAAGTGCAGTCCAGTTCTGAGGTCTTTACACTGGCTTCCTGTCAGAGACTTCATACTGCTGCTGGTTTATAAAGCACTGAATGGTTTATTCTGATCTCCTGCTAAATGATGAACCATCCAGAACTCTCAAGTCTTCTGGTCTGCTTTCTGTCCCCAGAACCAGAACTAAACATGGAGGAGTTAAGTTATTATGCTCCATACATCTGGAACAAACTCCCAGAAACCTGCAGGTCCTTTTCAATCCAGGCTATAGAACTATTCATATCTCACACTGCACTGTAACTTTTATTTGATTATCTTTGCTTTCTAATGACTGTTTTTAAAGGCCATTTTATAATGTGTCTCCTCTCCTGTAAAGCACTTTTAAATGCCTTGTGTTGAAAGGTGCTATATACATATACAGGGTGTCCGCGGGGTCTTAAAAAGTATTAAAAGTTGATAAATCAATTTAGCGAAAATTAAGGCTATTAAAAAGTATTAAAGGGCATTTTCCAAGGTATTACATTCTGTAGCTAGTTTTCAATAAGTATATGAATTGTCCAAAGAGGTTGTATTCTACAGTCTGCCTGAATGTAATCATTGCGTAGGTGTGTAGTGTGATTCTGTGTAGTTTATTTATGGCATCCCGTTGGATTTGACGTCATCTGAACAGGACATCGCACGCTCACTGCTTGATAGCGCGCGAAGGTCCGTTTACGCCGGTTGTTAAACAACATCGTTATGGGGAAATGCAAGTCTGCGTCCAAATGGTTGGAAGATAAGGAGGAAGGACAATCAATACTGTATATAGTCAATGTGAGGTAAAATGTGTCGCCAATGTAACCGGTTAGAACTCCAAGTGGCGATGAGGTCTTAAAATGTATGGAAAGGGTCTTAAAAAAGGTCTTAAAAGGTATTACATGTGACTTCAGGATTCCTGATATACCTGCCTTACCTATACTGAGTGCTTGAAAAACTAAGCTTTTTAAATGAACTGTAAAAAAAAGCAACTCATCAGCAATGCCGGTCTCAATCCCCAGAAGTAATCCGGCAACCTGTTGGTTTAAGGATCAGTCGCAATCGTTCTTCTTTTAAAAGAAAGGGATATTGCCCTTGACCGAGTCACTTCTCCTGGGACTTGTATTGTCTCTGCCCACTGATAAAGGGTCAATAACAAAGGACAAGTTTCCCCAGAGACATTCATTAAATATGACTTTTAAACAAAGAAATGGTGTCTTGTTTTTTTGCAGACATTCTTCCTTTTATGCCTCCTTTAAAATGCTGAAATAGACTTGATGTAGTAAATACAAATCAGGCATCAGTCCAGGGACAGACTGGATCCAATAGGCGACGTATTTGGATTCATTTCCTCTGTATTTCAATCCAATTATCCCCTCAATGTGTGCGTTGAATGCCCATTGAATGAAAGGATGCATATGATTCATTGAGCGTTCTCCATCTTTACTGATGCCAGGACGTACGCTTTCATCCTCTCCAAAGCAAACTGTCTTTATCTTAATGTGTGTGTGTGTGTGTGTGTTTGCAGGGAGCGCTGTGGGGTGATAAAGATCCGTCAGGCGGGGGTTCAGAAGCACTGGAGGGAACGAGAGCCAGTGTTCCAGAACGCTCCTGCAGGTCTGAAGCGGCTGACGAGGAAACGCTACATAGATCTTGGTAATAAACACACCCTGACACTTATACTGCAAACTACAAGCGTGGAAATAAAGCTTGATGGTATTGTTACTCGGCATGTGTTTGCAATAGGTAGATGGATACTTTATATACTGTATCTACAGTAGATAAGACATATATCATTAACAATACACGCTGTAAAATGGTCTTGTTCTAAGTTATTAGGTCTGTTTGTCACATGATAGATTTTGTACTTGCATTTGGATTTGTGAGCAACATTTCAGGGGGAAACTAGTGACGTTCTAGGAGTTCCTTCAACTAGAGCTTAACTGGGTTTTCTTCCATTATATTTCTCAGAAAACAGGACATATTGTTGGATGTATATACCTATAAGTCAAGAATCGTGCCTGTTTACTGGACCTGTGTGAAATTCTAGTTTCTACTCAAGAAAGATTGATTGGAACTGATCAACTTGGACATTTGACAACCAATGCAAACATGGATTTAAAAGGCGATATTTACGATGTTGGTTAAGCAAATACCACGATTGGGCCTTAAAGGTGGGGTAGGTAATTTTGGAGAAACCAGCTCGAGATCGCTAGAATTTGAAAATACACAGCCGGAGAAAATCTGCCACTTCCTTACAGAGCCCCTCCTCCAACACACACGAACGCGCACATGACCAATGAGGGCACGAGATAAGTTAGTGCACAGATGGAAGGCTGACAGGCAGGTAGGCCATCCAGTTATTTTAGCCGGGCCAGCTCAGATGATTGGTCGTGCTTTTTACAGTACTACAGCTTCCACAGATGATATTTCTTTATGGATTTTTTGTCAAAGCACTTCAGATATTCATTGCTATCGGGATGTTAAGAGCATTCCATGGAATATAACAAAAAGTGTATCTCGAGCCGGTTTCTCAAACTTACCTACCCTACCTTTAAGTTAGAAATATCAAAAACACAACTTGGACTTTGACTCCTTAGACTTTGACTCAGACTTTGACTCTGACTCCTTAGACTTTGACTCCTTGGACTTTATGACTCCTTGTATTTGACCATATCTTTGTTTTCTGTGTGTTGCAGACGAGGCAGGCCCGGGCCCCGTGAAGAGCAAGTACGATGCACTGGACTTTGACACTCTGCTGAAGGAGGCCCAGAAGTCTTTGCACCGCTGACAGCGCCCCCTCCTGGCAGCCTTAGTGAACTACACCCTCTACTACAGGGCCCTCAGAAAGGCCCATTAGTACCCCCATGCAAGGCAACCTCGCAAAATGTTTACATTTTTACCATTGGAATAAAGTAGTGATAAGGACCTCGTTGTTTTTTTTTTTTGTTTTTTTTCTTTCACCGGAGGATATATTGCTTAAAAACGAGGAATCCACCGGAGAGCAAAAGGACTTACAACAGTACACCGAGTACGAACGATGATGATACAGCTGTTTGCTGACAATAACCGTCTGTTGGTGACTTCAGAGGACCTCTGTAGCAAAACCTTGCTATTCCTGCGTTGGTCGTCGTGGTGTGTGTGTTTCTGCGTGTGCGTGTTCTTCGTTCTGTTCGTTTTGTAAAAAAAAAAAGATAAAACCTCCCCTTTTCCGGTTACGGGTGGTGAAGCTGCAAGCTGCAAGCTGCAAGCTGCAAGCTGCAACCTGCAAGCTGCAAGCTGCAACCTGCAAGCTGCAACCTGCAAGCTGCAACCTGCAAGCTGCAACCTGCAAGCTGCAACCTGCAAGCTGCAAGCTGCAACATGCAACCTGCAAGCTGCAACCTGCAAGGTGCAACCTGCAACCTGCAAGGTGCAACCTGCAACATGCAAGCTGCAAGCTGCAAGGTGCAACCTGCAAGGTGCAACCTGCAACATGCAAGCTGCAACCTGCAAGGTGCAACCTGCAACCTGCAACCTGCAAGCTGCAAGCTGTTGTGGCTGTTAACCAGAACAAAAAAAACCCTGCTTTGTTTTAGCGAAGAATTGTGGATGTTATAAATTCTAAAATCTATTGTGTGTGTGTTATGGACAAAGACTATATAAAAAAACATTTAACGTAATCATTTGATGACTGATAAAAGTTTACAAATCTAAAATGAAGAAGAAGAAAATCATGTTTTTTTTTTCTTTTTTGTAATTGTAGTGCTTCCTTGATTTGATCTATGCACTGTACGGAGGGAAACGCCTCCGCCACGTTCCCTGTTTGACTCGAACTCTGCCATGCTTTAGGTTTCTGCTACTGGCTGCTGCAGGCTCTGTTTGGTAGGCGTTTCATACATTAAGACCCCGACTATGACCTGGAAAAAGATGTACCTTTATATTTATTCCAACCCATGCAAACACGGATTGGAAAGGCAATATTTACTGCATTTGTTGAGCAAATCCCAAGTTAGAAAACACCATTTGACGGGTGTTTCATGGGTTGCTTCCAGGTATGTTTTTTCCACATCTGGAGGGGTCTTGATGTACCTTTTATAGGGTCCCACTGAACATGTGTCCTCTGAAGGATGCAGCCTAATGACACCCACAGCCAATGCAACACTTACTGTTTACATTTGGACTGCAGCAAGCAGGACAATAATGGGGAAATGAAGATGGTAGCCATAGAATACTTTATATCATACGTTGTTATGAATCCATCACAGCTGCACTTTGTCTCCAGATCCTCCCAGTCCAATCTCCGTTACAGTCATTCAACTATTGTTAATGTCCTGGTGACATTAGTGCATTGGGTTTCTAAGTTTAAAGGGGATCAAGACCACTTTGCTCCCCCCCCCCCCCTATAATCCACAAATCAACAAATCTGTTGGAATGTATTCAAGAATTTGAATGTAATCATCGAGTTTTCCCCATTTCTGCTTGCCCAAAGATTGTGGAGTTTTTTTGGTGCTTTAAAGTAAGTTGTCCGGTCTGCAGGAAGTTACCGTTTGAAATGCAGTCCGGTTAGAACCGCTTTCCTGATGCAGCCAGTAGCAGTGAAAAGGGAGAGAGCCTCCACACCTATAGTGCCAATATGGTGGCACCAAAGGGCGAGCGAGGGACGGGCTTGAAAGTAAAGAACAAAAAAACAATCGGCTGAAAATCTGGTTTCTCATCCGGGAGGTATCAGCTGATCTCTACCTCACATCCATCCGTCCCTTTCTCCATCTTCTGGAGGCTCTCCACCATCTTCTGTTATGAGTTCATTCTGTCAGAAATGTTCTTCTGTCTGTCCCTAACTTATGGGTCGTTTCGGGGTTTGTCTTTGACTTTTGATACTATGGCTCAAAAGGGGAATAATCTCTGTCTCTCTTTCTCTAACTCTTTCCTCCGCTTGCCTCATAACGGTTTTAAGCGTGTCCGTTACTTGGAGTCTCGACCATGTGTCCGTGTGTTTCTGAGTGTTTCGTCTTTGTCTCGTGTTTGAGTCGGACACTGCTGGCGCTTGCAGGTCGGTGAGGAGGGGTCGAACGCTGGCTTTAGGGTTTGTTCGGTCCTCGATCGAAGGGGGAAGAGTCTCCTGGTTTTCAGTTTTTATTCAGGGACACGTTCCTCCTCTCCTCGCCTAAGAATTTCAATAAATCGCAGCCCGACTCCCTCTAAACTATCGCTTTCCGTCTCGTGGGTTCTAGGCCTCGGGGTCTTCCCCAAACCCCTGGTAACCTCCCGCTTTATAACAAATAATCCCTCTTTTACCCGTCCTATCTAATCAACTCCTTGGTAACACACACAAAAAATTGAATGTTTACATCACTCGATTCTCCTTTGACTTTATTAGGAACGCACACTTAGTACAAAGGCGCCTTATTCAGTGTTTAAAAAAATAATAATTAACAGCAAAGTGAAGCGTTACCTTCTCCAGGCTCACTGATGTCCAAATCTAACAAAAACACTTTAGTGCTATACATACTGATTGAGAAGTTATTAAAACAATTATTTAAAAACACAAACAACTGAATAAGTATTTGTGCTTAGTATGTATACTACTAAAAAAGTGAGAGAATGTGCCGGTTTACATATAAAAAAAAGAATATATATGAATATAAAATGTGTATATAGCACTATGCCTCGTTGTAAACATAAATTGTATTGTGTGTTTTTTTATTTTTAAGTGGCGGGTTATAGTTGATAGCTAATCAGACAGTCAGTACAGGGAGGACATGAAGGGAATTGAGAGAAGTTCACACTGTTGTAAAAGACATCCCTTTAGACTATCACACTAAAAGGTTTCTTTGCTGTTTATGAAATGACTCAATATTTTTTAATGTTTTTTTTTAATGTTTTCTTAAAGAGCAATTTGAAATGCAATACATAATAATCTTATCTTTAAGACAGCCTTTCCGAGAAACTGAGATAATAATAATAATATATAGGTTGGTTGTTGAGCGACGGATCCAATAGACTACTGTACTGTATGTAGACTGCTGTTAAACACAAAAAACACATAAAGACTACAGGAAGAAAGGGGGTAGTTGTGAACACATATACAAAACAAGTCGTACCATATACTCTCGCACAAATAACGTCCCAAGTGGTGAAATATCTTCACAGTTTTTATTTTCGTTGAAGGGAAGCCATTGTAACTGCTATCACCTTCGATGGTGCACAGGTGTGTTGAACACCTGTACTACAGGAACAGCCAATAACTAAACATGTATGACTGGTGGAGGAATGTGGGGGGGTGGGAAAGGAGACAAAAGCAAGTCGTCGCTGGTTTGACCCGGTTCTAGTTTCACATTAGTTGATACCGACACTGTAGAAATCCCAGTTTAAATGATTACACCACCACTAACGTCGTAAAGGAAATATAACTTACAGAACGCTTGGTCCAACTAGCTGGGACGTGTTGTGCTTTAGATGCTAAGTAAAGCATAAAAGCAGCTTTGGGAATGTTGCATAGACATAAAACATAGAGTGGAAGTCAGGGGTGTTTATAGGAGAATACATTTGCTTCCCTTTTGCAAACGGGCAAAACTGAAAAGGCTTTCGTTAGCATATCTTGCTAACCCTTCCACGTGACAAAGCTAGCTCTGGTTTGGCCTGTTGGGAGATCTTAGTTTCTTCATATAATCCAGCATTTGTATGTCGAGGATCTCTTGAAACTGAGAGTCAGTGGTTGGGTTTCTACAGTGTCTGCCGCCGTGCCAGTTAGGGTGCCTCGATTTTCTAGAGGTTAATGGCGTTGGAGAACCCATTTTTCATCCTGGCAAGCCTTAAAATCAATCGGGAGGGGAAGACGAAGCTACCACTAGCTTTTATTATTGCTGTTTCAACTCCTTTCCAATCCAATGCGGTTTATTATTAAATGATTACTGACGTAATTACAACTTTTTTCAATAGCCATATTATAAAAAGGTATATACATATATATGAATATATATTTGTGTGTTTGTGTAGATATCTAGATGATTATATACTTTCTTATAGAAAACTTTGATGTTGACCATTCTCCTCTGTGTTTTGAGAACACGTTGACACATTTCAACAGAATAATAATACTGCTGTCCGCTTGGTCTAGGTCCTAGGTCGATGGACAACAAATCCAAAAAAAAAAAAAAAACGTCCTTCCAAAAGGAAACACCCTCAGAATGCAATACCTTTCTGCCCATTCTTCATTTCAGGAACAAATGGAAAATGGCTAGAAAGCCGTAAAACTTGATAGGCAAGTTGACCAAAAAAAGACACCTTTACACACCGACAATAACGAGCGTGGCTGTGGGGGTTTTCCACGGCCATTTCAGATCCAGTTTTATAGATGTTTCCAATGCCATGGGCCACTACAAACACGTCTTTGTTCTCACGTCACTTACTGTTTTACTTTGGGAAAAAACAATGTATCTGTCAGCTATAGCTACACCGTCAAAGAGTGCTTTCAACGCCGGCCTCAGATTCCTCTTCCATGTCTGATCTGAACGCTTGTGTCAACACCTACAGTCGTTCAACACACACACACACACACACACACACACACACACACACACACACACACACACACACACACACACTAATGGGTAACCTGTCAAACTTGATGTCAAACAGGCACTTAGTAGGGACTGCAAACTGTCTAAATGTGAGCGGCTGTTCTCTGGTGGAAGTTAATATTTTTGACATAAAGGGCATACATTGTTTTTGATGTTTTTCTTGATTTTCTTGTCTATTTACATCTAATGACTATCAAATTCACATAAATGATTTTTCTTTTTTAACTTTAGTTTTTGGTAAAAACAAAAAAGGTAAATACTGCTAGTGAGATTTTATATTTTTACATATGTTGGTTTTATTTTGTGTTTTATTTTTTATTTATACGCCACTTAGTTTGGATGTCTTTAAATGGTGTTTTTTTTCTT